CTGCCCAGAACCACATAGCAGGACAGTGGCTGAACTGGGAAGGGAACCCAGGCGTCCAGATACCAGCTCCCTCCATAACCCACCAGACTCCACATCCCTCCCAGAGCTGGGAATAGAACCTAGGAATCCTGACTCCCGGCTCCCACTGTTCTAACCCACTAGACCCAATCAGTCCTGACTATCATCTTTCAGAGGAGTCTCTGCTGTACACTGGGACGGGGAGACTCTCCTCAGCCCAAGGTTTTCAAGGGAGGTGTAGAGCAACTGCGTGGGCCGTTGGTACTGCCATGTGTGTGAGCAGCCTGATGCATCAGCAATGGACTGACCACCCCGGGGTCCCTCAGCCCAGCCCTACCCCACGTACCCTGAAAAACTCCTTGAGCTGGGGGCTGTTGTTCAGCGCAGGAATGTGCACCGTGAACCTCAGCATGGCCTCAGCCGCTTTCCTGCGCTCCTCGATCACCTCGGGCTCAAAGCGGCCTGCAAGACAGAGCTCCTATTAGGATAGGTCCTCCAGCACAACCCCCTCCCTAGACAGACCATCCACTCCACCTCTAGCCCTGTGGTACATTCTAGCCCACCCACCCCTGCCACTGTCTGGTGGGCATCCCACCTCAATTCACTTCACATGGTATGGTCCACTGTGTGCCCCTGTTGTGGAGCACTGTGGGGAGGAAGAAGCTGTGTGGGAGGATGAGGGAGCTACGTAGGGTAGGGGGCTGTGCTGTGGGGATGGGGGGAGCTGGGCATGGGAGAGGGAGCTGTGCGGGGGGAAAGGTGGAGGGATGGGGGGAGCAGAGTGCGTCTGTATGTGTGGGGGGAGTTCTCTCTGCCACTGCTCTGGGGGCAACCCAGATGAATCAGACTCCAGGGGCTGTTCTCCCCCCCCCCCCCCCCCCGCCCCTTGGGAAGCCCCTTACCAAAGACCTGGGCTTTGGGGAAGGTGGGGAACTCCTCCATGCGCCGGAAAAGGTTGCGGTGGATGTAGGACAGGTCCCCATGCAGCTTCTTGAAGTCACTGTACCGTTTCCAGACCGTGATCTGAAGGACACAAGCCCCCCAGGTGCCCCAGTTAACTAGCCACAGATGTACACTAACCCGGCAGCTCCCACAGTCCCAGGGACCCTTCCCTTATTCCCCAAACTGCAACCCTTTAACTCAAACCCCCAAATACAAATCTATGGACCCAGCTCCTTCCAGGCTGAACTTTGATGTAAAACTCCTGGATTTCTGTCCCCCTGCTTTTTACCCCCAGACCTCAGTCACTCTGCCCCTAACCCGCAACCTTTGCCATAGGACTCAAAGCCCCATGACAAAACCATCCCCAAAACTCAGCTCCACCAGACCTCAAATTTTGGGACTTTGCCCATCATTGCTGAACAGCCGTGCATGTGGGCAAGCCTGGAGTGGAGACACCCCCCCCAAATTCTTTGCTCCCTCTCTTTGAGAATACGGACGGACGGATATGGATTCCTTCCCACCCTTTCTTCGCACCCCTCCCCTGCATGAGCAGATGGGTTTAAAAAGAGTCACCTGCTTGACATCCTCTGGGTTCGTCTTCGAAACAAACTATGGAGGGAAGAGACAAGGAGTCAGTAACTTCCGAGCCGGGAGGTGGAGATGGGGAGGTTCGGGCCTAATGAAGGGACCAGCAGCCTAGGGGCCATCAGCCTAGGATGTGGGAAATGTGACAGCCACGGGGTGTGGTGTGTCAGGGGTCATCCCCCTGGGACATCCCCAGGGCATGGGAGGTACCTTTAACCTGGGACATCCCTGGGGCATGGGCAATGTGGGACATGTCTTTGACCTCCGACATCTGCAGTGCCTAGGGCTTATGGCAGGGGACCAGGGGCGGCAAGTTATATGGGCCCGTGGTGCCCTGGCTCCAGCAATGTTTGGGGCTGGGTCTCTCTCCTGCAGCTCCCCGCTGCCTCTGCTCTGCTGGCTCCCGGCATCAACTGTGGCCGCAGAGTCCTAGCGCCCCCCATCCAATAGTGCCAGGGCAGGCTGCCCCTGCCCTTCTGCCTCAGACCCTTCCCTTTTCCAGCGGGACCCTCCACCAGCACAGGCCCCCCGCCCACAGTCACCGCTCCTGCCCCACACTGGGCAAGGGGCAGCTCCACCCCCAGTGAGGAGCAGCAGCAGGGGAGGAGGCGCACATGTGATGGCAGCCCCCCCAGCACCCACTACAGGGGAGGCAAGGGGGCTTCCTGGACCTGAGAGGGGCCCTAGGAGCACGTTCAGTGACAGTAGTGCAAGGTGAGTGTGCTGCTGGGGGAGCAGAGGGGGGCCCCTCCCCCAGAGCTCGCTGATGCAGGTGAGGAGAGTGCTGGGGGGAGTCCTCCTCTCTGGCCCCAGCCCTGGGGCAGCCTGCACCCCAAACGCCTCATCCCCAACCCTGCCCCACCCCAGAGTCCTCACCCCTCCTGCACCCCAACCCTCTGCCCCAGCCCTGAGCCCCCTCCTGCATCATGAACCCCTCATCCATAGCCCTCACCCCACACCCCAACCCTCTGCCCTAGCCCTGAGCCCCCACCCCCAGAACCCTCACATTTTTACATTCTTTTTTAAAAAAATATTGGCTTACAAGGCGGGGGGGGGGCGGGGAGAGGGGGGGGGGGAAGACTTAGACTTGTTCTGGGCACCACCAAAAATTATACAAACCTGCCACCCCTGCCTGGGGCGTGGAGAGCTGTGGCAGGTGCTAGCCACGTCCCACGTGCGGGTCTCACGGGACCCACGAACACAAGGCTCCCCCTGCAGGAAGCTTCCATCTTAAAGGGACCACACCCACGACACCCCAAAACGGAGACCCGACGGGGCCCACACGCAGCTCCCCACCTCTTAAAGCGGCTACGCACAGTGTCCTTCCCCCTGAAAAGTACCAGGGACAAGTCTCGCCCCATGGTGCTCCCTCCTTAAGGAGGCTAAGCGAGGTGCCCCCCTCTCATGGGGGTATCAGCAGCCCCTGCTATCCAGCAGGAAGGGCCCTTCGCCTTAAAGAGGCCACGCGCAGCCCCCTGGGGAGGGTCCCAGGAGCTGCCCCTCACCTTGGCTGTCACTTTATACTCGGTGTGGCCCTTGGGGTGGCTCCTCGGCTCTGTGACCGTGTAATGCCGCTGGTACTCATCCTTCACCCTGCAGGCCATCACCCTCTTCCCATTGGGGCTGCGGCCCCTTTAAATCCTGAGCCCGCCCTCCCCCACATCAGCAGCCAGCCCCCGAGCAGCAGCGACTGCCGCCTGGGAGCGTGGGTTTGTCGAACAGCCACTACGCATGCGCAAGCAATGTAGGCGCCTCCCCACCCATACATTCACTACGCACACGGGCCGGACCTCCTTTCCCCGCCCCAGCCCAGGGAGCGTGTGTAAAGTGCAAGGCTGCAGGCGAGCTGAAGAGTCAAGGGCTCCTCTGGAATGTGCCCACATGTTACAGGCAGGGTAAGCGGGGAATTGAGCTTGGAATGGGGAAAGGAGTACAGAGGGGAAAACTGGCAGGGGCAAAGGGGTAATTGGGACAGAGCTGGGGTAAAGGAAGCAGGTTACAGCTGTGGTTCTTAACCAGGGGTATGAATAGCCCTGGGAGTATGCCGAGGTCTTCCACCAGGTACATCAACTCATCTAGTTATTTGCCTAGTTTTACAACAGGCTACACAAAAAGCACTAGCAAAGTCAGCACAAACCAAAATTTCATACAATGACTTGTTTATACTGCTCTATGTACTATACAATGAAATGTAACGACAATATTTATATTCCAATTGATTTATTTTGGAATTATATGGTACAAATGAGAGTGAACAATTTCTCAGTAACTGTGCTGGGACACTTGTACTTTTTGTCTGATTTTGTAGGCAAGTAGTTAAGTGAAGTGAAACTTGGGGTATGCAAGACAAATCAGACTCCTGAAAGGAGCAAAGTTGTCTGGAAAGGTTGAGAGCCACTGGGTTACAGGGTAAGGTATAAAGGGTCCAATGTTATACGATAGAAGGTGGAAGGTAACGGGGCAGGGCCAGGGGAAGCTATGTGATAATGGAGGTAAATAGAGAATGGGGAGAAAAATGGTGTCACCCTTCTAATGCTGATGGGCTTTACAAGCAGGGCAAAGAGCTAGGAATAAGGTTTGAAATTCTGATGCTCTCTGGAACCTCAATCCCCATGTCCCATTCCAACCCCAGCCAGGCTGCTCCAGCCCTCGCAGTTCAACGTTGGGGGGCATCTTTGAGGTACATCCTTAAAGTTGAGGTCTTGCCATCATTGTATGGACACAGCTGACCAGAGGGCATGTCTGCAGCAGCCCAGGGGTTCCCACTGCCTCAGGGATCTTGGCCAAAACAGCACCTCTCATGGCTCTGCTATCCCTTCTCCATCCCAGAGGTTGCTGCAGCACAATGAGGGTGAGTGGAGAGGTTGCTGCAGCACAATGAGATTAAATGCACTGGAGAGGTGAATTATTAAACTGTATTTGACAGAGATTAACTTTCTCAATCACTAAAATGCAGCTGCCTCTGGGGTGGGGCACAAGAGCTGTTTCTACAGGGATCCCTCACCCAGTGCTGAGATGTAGCCCCCTCTGAGATGGGGAGCAGGGGCTTTTTACTCAGTGATCCCTTGCTTGGCTCTGAGATGCAGCCACCACTGACTGGGACAGAGGGGGCTGTTTAATAGCTCATAGGAACAGTTAAGAACAGGAAGTGAATCTCTCTCTGCTTAAAACCACAGCAGGTTCAGGATAGAGTGGGAGGGTGAGGGAGATCCTTGCAGAACACCACCCCTCCCGCCCCAGCCTCTTGAGTGCCCCTGCCCCCATCTGCAACTCAGCTGAGACAGGAAAAAAAAAAATATACGGGCATCACTAAGCCCATGTGAGAAACAGATGCTGTAGCTGGGCATCTAGAGCCACCCCTAGGGGAAGTCCATCTCTCAGGGGAAGCTGGCACAATAAGCCAAAACCACAAGGCAAACCCACGCAGGGTCAAGGTATCCAGGCACAGCCAGGGACATAGGCCACTGATTTTATTAGCGCAGGCGATGAAAAATATGAGTGAATGTTTGATACAGAGGTGGGGGTGTTTGGTTGGTGGTTTTTTTTTTTTTTTTTTTTTTTGGGTGGGGGGAGTTCCTCTCTACCAGTCCCACTCATACACACAGTTCAACAGGCCTTGTGCTCCAGTGATGGGGCCTCAGCCCCCACCCCCGTGACTATAAATGGCCTGGTCCCTCTGCTTCCCCAGCTTCCCCCATCATTTGGGTCCAATTGATTGCCAGCATTAGAGGCTCAAACCCTGAAACGCATGCACGAGACCCGGGCCAGGGGCACTAAGCCATGCATCATTCCAGGGGGCAGCTGGGATCTAGGCCGAATCCAAGGGGAGTTGCTGTCCCGGTGACTGACTGTTGGAGGAAAGCATGATGGGAGGGTCCATGGAAACAACAGCCACATGGTCCTGGGAACTCTGTTCAAAGCTTGGATGCAGCCCCACCCCCACTCCTGCAGCCCCCCCACAAAGGAGTGGGCCACGTCTGGGGCATGGTCAGTCCGTGGTGAAGATCCGGCTGGAAATATCATCCAGGAGCCAGTCGATCCCCGTCAGCAGGTTCTCCCCAGTGAAGGCACTACAGGCCTGGATGCACCAATGGTGGCTTTTGATGCTGTCTAGTTCCAAGGCCTGAAGGGAAGGGAAGACGACGCTGAGTTACCTGACTGTGCTAAGACCAAACCTGTCCTCAGCCCACATCTCCCAGCACTAGCACAGCCTCCTGTCCCTGCCCTGGTGAGGGAAGGATTAGCCCCTTACTCTCAACCTGGTAAAACTGAGGCACAGAGAGGGGAAAGATCATACAGTGAGCCAGTGATAAACTGGAGACAAGTCAGGAGTCCTGGCTGCCATTCATCTGGTGTAACTCTTCTACCCCCCTCCCCTTCCAGAGCTGGGAACAGAAGAGCTGACTCCCAGTCCCTGCCCCCCGTCCTCCAACCAACAGACCCCACTCCCCTCAGTCAATATCCCTGGTTTGCTTCAGGCCAGTGGCTCTCACCTCCCGGATGGCATTGGAGGACAGTGCTCCCGGCAGGTCCTGTTTGTTGGCGAAGATGAGCAGGGTAGCTCCGGCCAGGCGCTGTGGGGAACGAAGCACAGGGTGAGTTGCATGGCCCTGTTGTCTTGGTCCCCCATGCCCGTTAGCCCTTCAAGCACCCTCCCACCCAGTCAGCAGCCAGGCCTACCTCCTCCTCCTCTGTCCCAGACATGGGTCTGTTTCTCAGTCCTGGGGGACCTGGCAGCAAGGGGGTTGGGGTCCTCTCTGCAGCAGAGGCAGGTGCTGCCTCCAGCAGGTCAACATCAAACTAGGCCCCTCAGGGATCCCAACCCAAATTCCAGATACCTCCAGCCTAGTTCAGCCAGAAGTTGTCCCACCTACTCACAGTATACAGCCCTCCTGAAGGACACTTTGTACAGCCCACTCCCCCATGCCCAAAAGATACACCGCCTCTCCCAAGACATTTGATACAACCCATCCCATACATATCACTTTTCCTGGCAGGATACAGCCCCCCCACCCTCCAAGAGAATTGGTACAGCTCCCCCCCACCCCCGATATAGACCCTCTCTGCCCCCCGGATAGATGCAGTTCACACCTCTTCCACCAGGAGGCTCTGCAACTCCTGTTTGCAGACCTGCAGGCGCTGCTGGTCAGCGCTGTCCACCACCCAGATGAGACCATCCGTGCTCTCAAAGTAGTTGCGCCAGTAGGAGCGCAGGGATGTCTGTCCGCCCACGTCCCAGATGTTCAGCTTGAACCTGAGCAGTAGAAAAAGACACAGAGTGTGGAGGTAAAGGGGCAGTCAGGCAAGATCCCAGCATGCACTGGGAAACAGACATCCTGGAGCAAGGAGGGGATGTTCCCTCTGCATCTGGCTCTGGGGAGACCAAACCTTCTTGGCTCCAAATCCCTTAAGAGTGACAGAAAGTGAGCAAGGGGCTGAGCTGAGGGTGGGGGACAGGGGATCTGTCAATAAAGCCTCATCTTGCTTTGGCTAAGTGACGCCTGGGAAGGCGGAAGAACCACCCCCATGATCTGAAGGGGGTTAAGCTTAAGGGGGAGCAGGAACTGTTAGGGGAATGAGGTGAGGGACCTGTACAGAACTTGGAGTAAAGAATCAGGGTTACTGAGATCTATTAGGCAGGGGAATCAGCTCTCCAAAGGCACACTATAGAATCACAGAAATATAGGGCTGGAAAAGACCTTGAGAAGTCATCAAGTCCAGCCCCCTGCACTGTGGCAGGACCAAGCAAACCTAGACCATGATATTCAATTTGTGATCCACTGAAACCCCAAGATCCTTTCCCACAGTGCTACCACCTATGGCTAAGGGGGTTTGAAACCAGGGCTGAGCAGAGGCTGAGGGTTTGCAGTGTGGGGAGGGGTGGATAATCCTGCCCTGGGGGGCGGGGGCGAATCAGACTTTGGAGGGACAATCCTATCCAGGGGATGGATGGGCTGGGCAGGTTTTGGGGCCTGTGGATAGATCAGACACTCCGCTGGGCGCTCACCCCCGGTGCTCCAGGGTTTTGATGTTGAAGCCCAGTGTGGGCGAGATGGTGTCGATATCCTCCCCGTTGAACTTCTTCAGGATGGTGGTTTTGCCAGCATTGTCTAGGCCACTGTGGGAGGCAGGTCAAGGAGATGGCAGCTCAGAACATGGAAAGCCACATGAGAGAGAGTGTGTGTGTGTGGGGGGGGGGATGTTGGTGTCACAGCTGGATGGTGGATCAGCCCATAAAAAGGAAACTCCCAGTTGGGACCAGCGCAGCCCCTTCCTCTTCCATCAGCCCCTCACAGCGCTTGGTACAACCTTATTTACCCCTCTATTCACTGGATACAGCCCCCCAGGACAGTTGGTCCCCCTCACCCCCATAATATAGCACTCCTCCAGGACACTTGGTAGAGCCCAGATCCCATACCCAGAGGATACATCCCTTCCCCCAAACCCCTTGGTACAGCCCAAACCCACAGGATACACCCCCTCCCCCCAGAACTGTTGGTACAGCTCAGACCCACAGGATACACCCCCTCCCCCCAGCACCCCGGTACAGCCCAGACCCACAGGATACACCCCAGAACTGTTGGTCCAGCCCAAACCCCAGACACACAGGATACATCCCTCCCCCCCAACTCCTTGGTACTGCCCTCAGCTCCCACATCTAAAAGATAGAAGCCCCTTTATCACGCGATACTTGGTACCGCCCATCCTCTCCCCCGCAAAAGGATACAGCATGAGAAGCCGCAGCTCCCGCTCCTTCTGTCGCATCTTCTTCAGAATAGTCAGCAGCCCCATCACCAGCAGTCCAGCCGCCTCTTCCGCCCCGCCCGGTACCTGCTTCCCACGGACCAGCGCCCATTGGGTCCCGTCGCCGCCAATCATCACATCGTTGATCTCCATTGGGTGCACTCACTACAAGGTCCACCCCCTTACCGAAAACCAAAGAGGACGGGTCCTGCCGTCAGGAGAAATCCCTCACAGCGCTAGATTTTCCCACATCGCCACCTAGGCGACAGGGGTGAAATTACAGATCCCACACCCAGGAAACACAGAGGGGGAACGCCGTCGGCTAGAAGAATCCTTAAAAGGAACCCACAGCGTCACCTGGGGATGGAGACTGGTATTACAGCCCCTCAAAGAGAGTAATTTACAAGTCAGATGAAGACTAGCCAAACCCGAAATGGGACAGCTGGGTGGGACCCCATCTAAGCCAGGTGACCAGCCAAGCCCAAGGGAAAGCAAGCTGCCCCCACAAGCCAGGGGAAAATGAGCCACCGTGGGGGCAGTCACTGGCCCCACCCTAGATGGGGTAGGGGATTAGCCCAGCAGCAGTGCATTCCAACAGCCAAGCTGGCTACTACTGGCCCTGACCCCACCAGCTAGGCTCCTGCCATCCCTGCTGGTGGCACGAATCCCAATGCAGAAGGGAAGTTGCACTGGTGTCCATGTCTGAGCCTAGTTTGTGTCATCACAAGTCTCTGAATCTTCTTCTGCTGCTAGGGATAGCGCTAAGAGCAAATAGGCCATCCTTATCAAGGCCAGGGCACCAGATCCCTTAAGAGACAGCAATGGCACCTCTGCTTTCACTGCTATTAACTCCTCCCAAGACACTGGGGATCACCCTTCCTCAACAGCTCAGAGCTTCTATGTGCATTAGATTGGGGGCAAGGACCCTTGTGGGGGTGCTTATTCTGCAAAGCACCCATTACTTGCCTAGCTGGTGGATGATGTACTATGTTTACACATCTCACTGTCTACCTGTACTGAAAGGAGAGGGTGCTGCAACAGCCGCAGAGCACCTAGCTGGTGCTATGCAATGAGTACAAATGCCTCTGCATCCCAGGGCTGGAAGGAGGTGCTGCAGCACAACCAGGCAGCTAGTCAAGGTGGTGAGCATAGAGAAACACAGCAGCATCACAAATGACCTGTAGCAGGGAAATTTGCAGCTGTTCTTCACTTCACTGGTTATGGCTATCACCTCCAAGCCTCCCTCATCCACAGAAGCCCTTCAGGAGCCAGGCTGGAGAAACTAATTGAGCTATTTGATCAGTGTGAAAATTGGTGCCCTCTCCATTCTGGGACGGAATTGCATACTGGCATGTGATAGTGGAGTACGAGCTCTGAAGAGTGAAGTCCCCTCTACCTCAGCAAAAGAGCAAATGTCCTCCCCCGTACCTACATGGGGTCCAACTCTCAGGAGTTAGAGACGAACCAGCCCTTCAACCCTCCACAGGAGCGAGTAGCCAGAGAGGGGAAGTGACCTGTTTTTCACAAGTGCAGAGCAGCCCCCCACTTGTATGAAGTACAGGAGCTGGAGGTTCTCAGCACCGCTGGCATGGATATAGGATTGAGAGACTGAATGCCAGTCAATGGAAAGTTAAAAAAAAAAAAGACACTTTCACTTTCCACAGGGGAGCAAGGCTACTGGCAAGTAGATTAAACAATGTTCTAGGAAATAGTACCAGGAGGGCACTGACTTTATTAATCACCAGGGCCGGCTCTAGGCACCAGCAAAACAAGCTGGTGCTTGGGGCGGCACATTTTTAGTGGCGGCATGGCCGGCGCCAGAATGCCGCCCCTAAAAATGTGCCTCGGCCGCCCTAGCTCACCTCCGCTGCTGGCGCGCGAAACAGCTGATTCGCGCGCTGCTACTCGCCCTCCCTCCCAGGCTCTAAAGCCTGGGAGGGAGGGGGA